GGGGCACAGCGCCCGGGCTTGGGCCCGCCGTGCCACAGGTGCCGACGTCCAACGCTTCGCGCGCGGTGCAGCTGGAGACTGGGCCCGGGCCCGGGGCCGGGGATGGTCCTGCTGGGCATCAGGCCGTGGCGGAGAACATGGTGGTGCAAACTGGGCGCCCACCTGACGTTCAGTGGTTCGCTGACCCGGCGCTGGGCGCGGCTGGGGCTGTAAGTGGTTCTGCTGGACGCGCCCTGAGCCATCGGGCTGTGATGGAGAAACCGGGACCCGACCAACGTTCGGTTCGCTGACCTAGAACTGGGCACACTGTAAACGGTTCTGCTGGACGTGCCATGAGCCATCGGGCCGTGGAGGAGAAACCCGGCGCAAACCATGCGTTGTGTCAGTCGCGCCTGCAGCAGTCGGCTCCCGAGCAGACCTGTCCAAGCCACGTCGGCTGTAGGGAGCCGGGCCTCTGCTGGCGACGGCGGGCAGCCCTGGGCGGTCACGGAAAGAGGCGCGAGGCTAGCAAAGCCCAGAGGAAACCATTCCACGTGGGAGCGGGAGGTTTCAGAGCAGATGAGTTTCCTAGTGTAGGTCGCTCTCTGGAGACCCCTTCATTCATTGTGCTGACGTGGGGAAGTCTCGGGGGACGGCTGTTGCTGGGGCAGAGAGGGGTGGAGGAGGAAAGGGAATAGATAATCTTTATGCTTGGAAATAGCCAGCCCTGCTCTTACATCATGGTGTGTTAGAGGAGGTACATTTTGCTTCCCTCCAGAAGGGAAGATACAACTTAACGTGGATAAATATCAGATACTGGTTTTAAAAACATGCAGTGAGTATTAAAGACCCAGTGCGCTCCTGCTACTAAGCTGTGACCAGGCAGCGTGTTTATTTATATCCATTTATTTTTTCTTGCTAAATGCCCAACCTCTTTCCTTGTTGTCATTGTGCTTTAGACTCTACATTTCTGCCTGGTATGTTTTTAACACTGGCTCTTTGAAACGAGATTCCCCGCTGCCTGGCGGTCTTCATCAGTCAGGGTGTTGTGTGTGGAGATGAACAACCTTTCACGGCTCCTTTTCTGGGGTTAGAGGCCTGCGTTGCTGTTTCTGGGTGGACTTTCCTTCCTCGTGGGGCTCAGTGTTATATGCACCCATTGCCTCTCCAGAGGTGACTGCGTTTCAGAGGTGCTGTATGTGTGAAGCTTCTCAAATGCTCTGAGATGTATCTATATATGTAGAAGGTATTGTTGTTGACTTCCTGGGAAGTGCTGGATTGAACTAGTTATGCTTTGCATTTCTTTAGGGTGTGGTGGCAGGGCAGCTAAGGTATTTTGCCACGTGGCTTGGCATGAGTTTGCACCCTGCGTAGGTCACCTTTAGATGACCCGGCTGTAAATAGTTACCTTGTCGTTCAGGCTGGGCAGCTAGAAGCAGCCGGGTGTGATTCTGTAACCACCCTAGCCGGACAGGCCACGTGACTTGGACAGACTCCAACAGATTTCTCTATCAGCTTCCTGCCAAAGTTCTTCAACTGGATGGAAAGGCCCCTGACCCAGGTTCCCAAGAGATGTCCATCTTCCTCAGTTGGAAAAATGGAGGTGCGCTAGTGATTGGCTCAAAGTTGTAATGAATATGTGCCAAAAGAAGATTAGAGACTCAGTCTCCTGCTTGAAGATGCCTGATCTGTGTGCGGTAGCATTAGACTGGGCTTGAATGTTCTTGGCGAATTCCTTCTTCTACCTCTGAATGTGAGAGAGCTGGGGACAGGGAAGAGCTTAAATGTCTTCAACTGAAAGTGGAGGTATTGGGGGCTAGTGTTAACAGGTCTGAAACCCCACCTATTCTGTATCTCACCAGACTAGATGGGTGGTTAGAAAGCTCTGCGGGTCACAGCATCTCAGGGCCATACAGAGAGAGGACTGTGATTGTCCCATCCAGGAACCTCATTGCTCCCGTGTTCCTGGGCACTGAAGTGCACACCCAATGCCTCTTTCATCATCCAGCCGCTACTGCGTAAGGAGCTCAGCTGAGACCCAATGAAGGATTCTTTTCTTCCCCTTTGCTTTGCTGCCCACCTGGGAATTCATCGCAGGGAGCAAGTGCTGCTCAGGAGGACTGAAGAGGACTCCCTTCACAACCTGTTGGCTTTTCATTCTGAAATCAACAATCCAGGATTCCCTTAGCAGCTCCTGCTGGCTGCAAAGAAGCCAACAAGATCATAGTTCCTCATAGGTTTTTTTTTTTTTTTTTAATTCTTTATGAGTCACCTACCAAACCGTGTGTGGTGTGCACCAAACCACATGCTGATAGTGCTGTGGTTGAATGTACTAGCTTAGTTTCTCAAGAGCTGAGTTCAAATGCTTGGTTGGGTTACAAGTGAGCGGGATCTCAGTGGCTATGTCACTGCAGTATTGGAGGCTTCCTTCCTCTTGGGTTTGATGCCATTTAATTAACAGAGTTGGCAGCATTCTGCTTGGAGGAAGTGGCCTACTGATAACGCTCCTGCTTCAGCATTTTAATCACCTGGGCAAAGGTTGGCACATGAAAAAGCCTGCGTCGCGGTTATGGGCTGTGTAGTTATTGCTGTGGAGTCCCAGTGTAGTTACCGCAGCAAATGGACTGTTCTGTGCCTTATCCCTTAAAAGGTGCTTGTCTGTATTACAAACCCATGGCCTTGTTTGGCTCTGGGCCTGGGCATGGAGCAGCGCATGTTGGGGCGTAAATCGGAGCAAGACTCATTCTGCTACATCTCAGACTTGTGGATCCTAAGAGCTCTTTGCTGGAGCCACTGCCCCTGCCTGGCTGTAAGCAGCACTGTTGGCCTTGTTCATTGGCACTGAGTGTGCAGGTGCACTGCAGGGGGAATCTGTTTCTTAAAAGTAGTAATGTGGCAGGTTTAATCAGACATAACGTGACCTCTGCAGCTAGATTTGGCTCCCCAAATCCTGCTCCCTCTGGAGACATTGCTGTCATATAAGTTGCACAGAAGTAAGCTGCCCTGTATGAAGGAGAAGCTCTTCTGTATATAGTGAAGACTGCAAATGGGCTGAGACAGGGACAGGTGTCCAGTCTGCAAGTGTTGGCTTTGAAGCTGAAAGAGACCTCCACATGGAAGTTCACTGGGCTGGTTCTGTCCAAGTACTGTGCGCGCTCAGTGCAGAGCTAAAAATGTCTGAAAACAAGGGTCCATGGGGCTTCAGGATGAGCCTCAAGACATTTGCAATTCCAGCCTCTGACTAGGCCAGCTGTGACAATCAGATATGTGGTGTTTAACAACTGAAGCAGCAGCAAAACTTGTGAGCATGTTCCAGTTCTAGTGGCCTGACCTCCAGGTCCCAGCATTGTAGGTTCTCTGCAGTCCTGTGTTAGAGCAGATGCTAGCAGACAACTGGGCCATTCAGCATTTAACCAGTCATCTGGCACCTATGCAGAGTTTTCCTTGGAGCTCCCAGGGCTTTGGGGTAAACGCTGGTATCCCTGCTGTACAGGTGAGGAAATTGGAGCACACAATTTCCTCTATACCCAAACCCTGCTCTACTCTGAACACTGCTTCACTTTTAACAGGACAGTGGTAGGCCTCCAGCAGCCCAGCTGGCTATGGCAAAAGAGTTACATCACCGAGATGCAGTGTCCTAGACAACACTGTAATAGAGCCCAAGGCTCCATGCAGAAGCAAAGGTACAGAAGCAAAGGTAGAGCAACTTGCTGGGGATGGGACTCCCAGTAGGGCTGGGCCTGGAACTCGGGTCTCCTGACTGCTTGACTCTCTCAGATCATTATGACATCTTCAGTTGATGCTTCACGTCTTCACTGGGCAGCTTCCAATCCTGAATTCAGTTAGAGCAGGAGCTGGCCCAGGAAAATTCAGGCAAGACGTGTAGGGGAAGTTTGAGGAGAGGGCAGAACTGGGGAGTTCTTGCTCCCCCCGCTACTAGACTACCTTGCCATTTGAAGGGCCTCACATCAAGGCTGGCTCATCTCTATGGGTGTCTGGTGCTGGGTGGCTCTGATGTATTTGCACGCTCTGCGAATAACCCTGTTGTCTTGTTCCTCAGAAGAGCCAGTCCTGCTAGCAGAGCTGAAGCCTGGGCGACCCCAGCAGTATGACTGGAAGTCAAGCTGTGAGACATGGAGTGTTGCCTTTTCCCCTGATGGTGCCTGGTTCGCCTGGTCTCAGGGCCACTGCATCGTCAAGCTGATCCCATGGCCTCTGGAGGAAGCTGAGCTGTAAGTATCCAGTGACAACTCGGAGATGGAGTGCAGTATCTCTTGCAGGACCCCCAACATTAATTATCCTACCTGTTTGTCCCTTCTTTTGTGTACATATGTCCCTCTAACCCAGTGCCCCCCAGCACTCGGGACATGGCTTGCAGCGGGGGACCTGAGGGTCAGTCTGATCTTCCATATCTCCTGTGACAAGAATCCTCCCTACTGTGAACGGGGTGGGGTTGTCAGTCTCTGTTCTCCCATGTCCTTCTGGAAACCAGCCTTCTAGAGAGTTGGCATGATGGGCTTCAGGGATGGCTCTACTGAGCTGTATCCTGGAGGTCTGTGAAAGCTTCCTGCTCTGCAGCCTTCCTGGAAGAACTCCTGGAACAGCCGATAGTCCTTCGGTGCCTGGTTGTGGTTCACTGTTGTGTGCCTGGAAGGTTTCCTCTGGTGCGAGACAAGGGCAAACCCCTTTGGTGCAATCTTTGCCTGTGCCAGGAGTTTGCACCTATGTTTGGCCAGCTGAGATCTCTGGAGCCAGGCCCCCACCCTATGTTGGGCTCTTGTTCCATGAAGTGCAGTGGGCAGCACAGGTTCTGGTCCTTGCAGCCTATGAACAGATTGATGATTTCCCTCTGGCAGTGGCTGCAGAACGATTGAGCATAAGAGCTGTAGCACCAAAGCTGACACACGAGGCCGAGGTGGTGCCAAGGAGAAAACACTGGAATGTGGTCAGATCGTTTGGGGTTTGTCCTTCAGCACCAGGGAGCAAGATGGCTTGCAGGCTCCCAGCCCCTCCTGCCTGATCCTTGCTACAGGTCTCAATGATGGGCAGATCAAAGTCTGGGAGGTACAAACAGGTGAGCAGATGGAGGAGGTGGTGGGGGGAAGCTAAACCTGGCAAAGGATTCTTCCAGCTGCTGCTGAGGTGCAGTCTCCCCGAGGGAGTTCCTCTCTGCCCTCCTCTCTTTTAGGGAATGTTGAGCTCCTGAGCTTGTTCCAAGTAGTCTCTTAATCAGACTATTGTACTGCAGTCTCCTCCTTGTTAGAGCCAGCCTGGCTCAGCGTCCCATGTCTGTAGTGCTTCTCAGCAGCTTGGTAGCTGCTCCTCACACCCTCCCAGCCTCTGCTTGCATGAGGGAAACTAGAAGGAGGTGGGTCACCCAACCTGCTTTCTCCTTGTTGTCTCTGGGGGTTTCCCCCTCTCCAGGTGAGCAGGAGGTGGCCAGAACTGCAGCTCTGTGCCAGCAGCGACAGCCTCATTTATGTGAAGCAAGCTGGGTGGTTGCTTAATTTTTCACCAAAATATACCAGACCATGAATATTGTGTGACCCAGGCTTTTTGCTTGCCAGCCTGCTTTCTGGGCTTGGCAAAGCAGGGGTGGAACAGGCCGTGTCAATAATCTTTGGGACTGGAAGAACATGCTTGAGCAAAGGGAACTCTGACCCTCTTTGACCACCTGCCCAGGCTGGCATTTTAAGGGTTAATTTGTCTAGTTTGGCAAGGCCCTTGCATAAGGGTGACATGTAAATTTGTGCTGCAGGCTGCATCCCTGTGGGCTATAGGGAGAAATGCCTAGAGTGAGATCACACTCAGCTGTGTGCTCCTGTCTGCAGGGCATTTGCTTTTCAATCTCTCTGGGCACCAAGACGTGGTGAGAGACTTGAGCTTTACTCCCAATGGAAACCTGATCCTGGTCTCTGCATCCCGGGACAAGACCCTCCGTGTCTGGGACCTGAGCAGAGATGGTATGAGTGAGTTAATGACTCCCCCACAATGGGGAGTAGATGACTGCTCTGACTCTCCTGGGTCAGTGAGCATGTTGGTGCTACAGTGTTGCAGTTATTTGGATGGGGATTTGGCTCTCCCCCCGGGGTATTGGGACCCTAAGTACTTGGACCCTAAGCCAGTGGAGACCCAGAGGAGGTGAGAAGAGTAGGCACTGGGAGTCATGACAGCAGGTGGTAACACGCAGCAGAGGGGACCTCTTGGTTACAAACCCCAGTGTGGAGGGCAGCCACCCAGCAGATACTTGCTGGACACAGAGAATATGCCAGGTGCATTTGAGGGATTTCCCGCAAACATGATCAGATCTGAACTGCCCTGAGGAACCCTCTGTCCTTCCTGGGAAGAGGGTGGGAAGGCCAACTGGAAAGAGGATAAATGCAAGTACACCCGAGACTTCCCAAATGCCCTGGCTCTGGTCTGTGCCCACCTCTCATGACTCACATGTTTGCTGTCCCCAGGTAAGCAGGTCCAGGTGCTGTCTGGCCACACGCAATGGGTATACTGCTGCTCCATCTCCCCTGACTGCAGCATGCTGTGCTCTGCTGCTGGAGAGAAATCGGTGAGTCTGAGGAGGTGGAGTTGTCCTGGGGTCTTGTTTACTCTGTTGGTGGAGGTGTCAGGAGTGAGGGGTTGGGGCCTTACTGATGCAGAAGGACCCAGCATCCCTTCTGCTGTCATTCTGAATGGATATGCCTTGTGTTTACTGCTCCCAGTCTTGAGCCATCTGGCACTTCTGCCATTCCAGCCCTCTTTCCTTGTCTGTAGGTGTGATTGGTGCTGTTGCACAGATTGGCCAGCAGGGGTCACCGCAATGCAGCTCACACTTGGCCCAATCCTGAGTCCATCCCCTTGGCCTTTCCTAGGTACAACCTCTGCTCTGATCATAGTGTTTAAAATCTAAAGCCTTGCTTGCTTTCGTGTGTCTCAAACTACTGCTGTTGGTTGCTTGGACAGCAAGGGCTGGGGTGAAGAGAAGTGCTGGCAGTGACATCTTGTACCTTTGCTTCTGCATGGAGCCTTGGGCTCTATTACAGTGTTGTCTAGGACACTGCATCTCGGTGATGTAACTCTTTTGCCATAGCCAGCTGGTGGCTGTGGCATAGACAGCCTACCACTGTCCTGTTAAAAGTGAAGCAGTGTTCAGAGTAGAGCAGGGTTTGGGTATAGAGCCCTCATTTGTTACCAGGGTATCTCACTACCCTTCGGGCTGGATAGAAATGCAGAGGCACTGCTGCTCCTCTTGCACTCAGTTCAGAGTACTGGGTTATGCTGGTACATGCTGTGTCGCCTTCTGTGAAAGAGCCTGAGACCTGCAGCAGAGGCTCTGGGCTGCATTTGCCAGCCTCCTGCAGATGGGACAGAGGGTCTCTGCAGAAGGGAGGTCACCAGCTTGGTGTCAGAACACAATGTAGATGGGAGGCAAAGGACAAACGTGGTGAGGGTCTGAAAGGGTGATTTCTGGGGATCTTTGTGTAAACAGAAGGGACTGGACTCTGACTCAGGAGGCTCCTTCTAGTTTTATCTTTCTCAGGTCCATCTGGAGTTGCCCTTAAATATGCACCAAGCCCTCTTGCTGGCCAAGGAAAAGGGGTAAATCTGCCCACGCTACCCTCCCTCTAGTGACAAGCCCCTGCAGAGGGGCCTTGTGAAGATTGTCATGCCACCCCACTAGCCCATAGAGCTTAGGACTAGGCCATTCTTACCCCCTGTACATAGTTGCTGTCTAGCCAGGCAGCTGAGTTGGTCTTTATGTTGCTGGAAGTCTATTATATTGAGCCCCAGGCTTGTATATTGGGGTGTGGGAGCAGGGCTTGTTCACACTCCATGTCTGTGTGGGACTTCCCAGGGCCAAGCACTTGTATGGACTAAGCATATCACCCTCCACCTCATGTGTGCCCTTTTCACAGGCCCTCCTGTGGAGCATGCGGTCCTACACCCTCATCCGGAAACTGGAAGGGCACCAGAACAGTGTGGTGTCCTGCGACTTCTCGCCAGACTCGGCCCTGCTGGTCACTGCTTCTTATGATGCCTGTGTGATCATGTGGGACCCCTACACAGGGGAGCAGCTAAGGACACTCCGGTGAGGAAGGCCGCATGAGTGGGTCTGGCCATCTTTGAGGCATTTGAGTGACCTGGGGAGGGAGGGTGGGGTGAGCTTTGGTGTGTGAAGCTGGCTAGCCTGGGGGCTGATGCCTGTTGTTGTCTACCTCCCCTTTGCTGTGTGTTACTCTGTGCCCCTCTGCTTTGGGGCAGGCGCTTGGTAAAAGGATATTTGCTTCCTTACACAAGGGGGAGAGTTCACATCCAACTGACATTTTGGGTGGGGTTGCTTCTTGTTGCAGCAGGGAAGAGGTCACAACAGCATTTCTGCTGGGTAGGAGGTCACTGGGGCCTTTTGAGCACTGCTTCTCTGCCAGGGCCCAACACACAGTCATTTTTTTCCTTTGATAGGTTTTAAAAGGAGTCTAGGACATGGACCCCTTCTCACAATGGCAGCACGTGGCAAAGGGAACTCATGTTCCAGGAAGACACTTGAGAACTGATCCCAAATAACTCTCCAAAGGCTGGAGCTTTCTCCTTCCCTTCTCCACCTGGCTGCGTGTGGCTCTACCCAGAGCTCTGAGTGTTTTGGTATCACAGCCACATCCTTGAAAGATTCAGCCTGCTCTGGGCCTCTGACCAAGTGCTTTTTCTCTCTGACTCCTTAGTCACGATCCGCTGCACTCGGCATTGGACTATGGTACTGACATCCATGCCAGCTCCCTGAGGTCTGTGTGCTTCTCTCCTGAAGGCTTGTACCTGGCAACAGTGGCAGATGACAGGTGAGAGGCTCTGGGGGGCAGTGGCTTAGGGGATGCTACAGGGTGTCACCACCTCTTGTCCTAGACATTATCACAGCAGGTAAGATGCTTGGAGTGCTCCTGGGCCTCTGCTGTCCAGCAGGGACACAAGCCTTCTGGAATTGGATGCCTCTTTAGCGCACCATGCAGGGCAAGTTGACTGCCTCTGTTTTGCTGTATCTTCTTCACTCTGATGCCACAGCTGGTGGGGCAGCATCCCAGAGATGTAATCCTTGCCCATCTTGGGCAGCTTTATGGATCTTGATTGGTGCATGAGTTGTACCTTTGCTCCCACATGGGGCCTTGGGCTCTATTACGATGTTGTCTGGGACACTGCAGCTTGGTGATGTTACTCTTTTGCCATCACTAAGTCAGCTGCTGGAGGCCTGCCACTGTCCTGTTAAAGGTGAAGCAGTTCTCAGAGTAGGGCAGAGTTGGGTATTGAGTCCTAATTTGTTAGTGGGGTGTCCCACTACCTTTTGGGTTGGATAAAAATGCAGGTAGCAGGAGGAGGTGTAAGAAATACTACCATCACCTTCCCAAGACCAGCAACTGGGTGGGCCATGTACCAAGAAACACCAGTAACTAGGAGCCTCCTGATACAAACCAAGCCATGGTGCCATGAGCAGCCCGAGAGATGTGTGAAGAAGCCAAGGGAAGAAATCCTTGCAGATGTGTTGAGCCTGTTGACTCCTGTGGTACAGGAACGGGCCCTGCTGTTTCTCCACTGTCACTTGTAGCAGTGCATTGGAAAGGTACATGCCCCAGTTCCACGCCCCTTGGGGTTCTGCCAGGCCTAGGAAACTTCCACACAACCACTTCCCTTTTGCTAAATCAGGCTGGTATAGGTGGAGGGCACTGGTCTTTTCATCCCAGCTGGGGCTGATGTCCCTCAGGAATTTTTTTCCTAGAAGCAGGTTTAGATGAATGGAAATTTCCAAAAGTGGAAATTTTTTCTTCCATCTACCAGGATTGTCTTGCTGGGTCAGACTTGTATCGTTTTACAGAATTCAGACTGCCACCTGATTTCTCAGGAAAGTTTCTGGTGCCTGGAAATGTCCATTTCTTCTTTTCCATGGCACTCAGTCCTCCTACCTGACCTGCCCATGATTACACCTGTAAAGACGCTGCTTCCACCTATGCCTCACTCATATCTTCTGGCCTGCAGTGCAGGCCTCTCAGTGGCCAATAAACCTTTCCTTGGCAAATTTAAAGAAAGGCAGGACGTGATTTTTCAAAAAAGGCCAGTGGTTTTGGGGCACCTGAGGCACCCTCCAGGGAGGGCTGATTTTCACAGTACTGAGCAGCTACCACCTAGAAATCAGGTCTCTTGGAGGTGTCTCAAGCTGGGTCCTCCAAATTATTAGTCACACTTAAAACTACAGGCTCTAGGTTTCCACACTGAAGCATTTAAACAAACCCACAAGTCTCAACGTGCCTGGACGGGCTTCCCAGGGGTCTGATCAATGCAGCTCTGATGTAATCAACACACAGCTCGTTGATTATTATCTGGTACAAGCACCAAGAACCCAAACACCAGGTGTGATATCGGGGGGAAATGGGCCAGGAGCAAATCACAAGCTAAAGCTCCAGGGGTCTGTGTTAATCTGCTGTGATACTCAGCTGTCACCATCTCTCAGCCTGAGTTTATCCCCACCTCTAAAATAGCCATAACGGCTGCCTTGCAGAGTGTTGAGGCTTTAGCAACATAATTGGGTGGAATCCATGGATGGAACTTGCTCTAGAAATGTGCGTGGTCGTGGTATTTTAATCTGTCCAGATGAGTATTTATTTCAGCTCCTGGAATTGCCTTGCAAGGTGCAAGTTTGTGAACACAAAGGCTGTCATTGCATCTTGTCTTTTACTCTAGACTCCTGAGGATCTGGGCATTGGAACTAAGAACTCCAGTTGCATTTGCACCTATGACCAACGGCTTGTGCTGCGTGTACTTTCCACACGGTGGTTTTATCGCCACAGGGTGCGTATGTTGTGTGCTGGCTGGTGGATGGGCATTTTGGGATGAGGGAGGTAGCACTATATGATTCCTTCTTGACCCAAACAGTACACTAAGCTGCAGTGCTATGGCTGTTTCAGATGTGGGCAGTAAGTGCTCAGAGAGCTATGTTCAGGCATTGGGTTTTAATTCCTCCCAAATTCCCACTATCCAAGCTTTGATGGATCCTTGTCTCATACTCTGGCCCCTGCTAGCGATGACTGTCTTCTCTGTCCCTGAAGTCTAATGGTTCACCAGCCAGAACCAGCCTTTACTCATGTTAGGGTTTGACTGCAGTGACTTCAAAATGTAAATGAAACAGCAGTGTAAGTTTCTAAATTGGATCTTAAGCTATGGGCTCCTCTTGAGTGCAGTTCCACTTGCAAGTGGGGACCTCAGGAGGGACTATAGGAAAGCCATCCCTAGTGCTGTTGTGCCCTAATAAATAGGGTGGGCAGAGCCCTCCCAAGGCATGGAAATGTGAAGGCTATGTCAAATCCAGGATTGGTGGATGGTGATGATCTGTGGTGTCCTCTTATCAGTTTTCCCTTTCCTGAAGTGCAGGAGTGGGGTCCATACATGCATACTGATTGTCTTTTCAGGTGCAAGGAGCTAAACTGTTCTTGGTGTCTCATTGCAGGACCAGAGATGGCCATGTCCAGTTCTGGACTGCACCCAGGGTCCTCTCATCCCTGAAGCACTTGTGCCGTAAAGCTCTCCGCACCTTCCTAACTACTTACCAGGTCTTAGCGCTACCCATTCCCAAGAAAATGAAAGAGTTCCTCACGTATAGGACTTTCTAAACCCTGCACAGGGACCAAAAAGACAGGAAGCTAGCTGGCTTCCTTCCTCACATCCATGCCAGGCCTTGGAATGGAGGATCTACCAGAGTCATGAAGACCCACTGGGACTTGCAAGTGTTGAGGCAAGAAGGATTTTTGTTCCCAAGTCCAGGGCTGAACATGTAGGCTATCCGAGTAACAGAACCCAGCACAAACACAAGCACTGGGCTGGGATTGCTGGATCTGCCTGACACTCAGCAGACAGGTCCCTCCCCACGACATCTGTGTTTCCATTCACTAGGTACTGTCTTGGAAGATTGTGTAGTGAATGCTGGGGAGGAGGGAGATTTGTGGAGTCTTTGTCACTGTAGTGGAAATGCAAATTCAAACCCCCACTTTCCCAAATGAGAACTTTTGCATCCTAGACTGGTACTAAACACAGCAGTGACTTGTATTCATCTTTTTTTTTCCCCTTGGCCTGGTTCGTAGCTGGATGAACCCAAACAACTCTTTGCATGGAAGAGGGCAGACTTAAATAAAATTGTTGAGTCCCCCACTTCTCACTTCTTTGTGTTTAAGGGGAAAAGATGCTTTTCCTAGTTTTGTTTTGGGGGTGATAATAGTATCCTGGTACTTTAGGGTCTTTTGGGGTGTGGGACCAAAGTCTTAAAACAGTGAGGGTAAACTATCATCTTCACACCAGTTGGAAATAGCATGTGCTTGAGTGAGGCAGATGCATGCAACACTTGGCTCTTGTATGTTCTAAAGCACAGATTTCTCCTCTGCCTGTGATGAAGAGAATCAGGCCAGGACTTCCCACATTTCCCTACTCATGACCCCACTTCTAACTGTGAACCCCCTGTTCTGCAGGTGCATTTCTGCCAGGCTTGAGACACCAGTTGGGGCTGTAATCCCTCAGATGAGAGGCTGTTTTAGGCTTCCCGGCCAGGGGTGGATTATTCCTTGCTTTTCCCAAGTCAAATCCTGGTCTCTTCTGGATGCGACTTCATCTTTGCACAGCTTTTTTTTCTTTATTTCTGTCCTCTCATCTTCACCTCTCATCTATACAGTAAAGCATGGTTAGTTTGTACAAGAACTTGTGAACTGTGCAAATGAGTTGGTTGAGGGATAATACAAAAAATGAGGATAACCAGACATTAGTTCCCTTAGGCTGACAGTCACAGTGGCTGAGTTGCCAATGTAATATACCAATGAATATTCTGTGGTGCTTTTTGTAAGAATGATGAATTCTTGGCACTAAGTCCATGGCTCACACTTAGCTGTGAAAAGGCAGACAGAGGATTAACTTTTCATGCAGATTTACAAGGCCCTACTGTCCTGTATGCTCTTTAGTCACTTTCTCTCAGCCAAGGTATGGCTTTCTGGAGTGGCAAGCTTCAGCTTTCCAGCCAAAGATGAAGGCACTTCTTGTGTGCTTCATGCACAACTTTGAAAGGAATCTGAAATACTTGTCCTTGTTTTATTAGATGTCCCTAGTTCACGGCTGGAGTAGCAACACATGTTCCTGGAAGTGTCTTATTCCCTTTTCTTTAATACATACCTCCCCATGCATTTTTGCCATGCAACTAGAAAGGTCCTAAACTACTTCAGTGCATGTGGCAGGGATTGACAGGAGGGGAAAGAATAATTTCTTCCTTAAAACTATAGGGCAGGATGCTTTTCTCCTCAGAAAAACGGTTACCCATAAATTGAATGTAGACAGATACTGGAAGCTTTCATGCAAGATTAGGTTTTGGGGGCGGGGGGTTTGAACACCTGGGAATATTGATGAACACAAGTGAAATGGTCCTACTCCATGATGGGTCAGTAGCAAAACAGTGAAGTCATCTTTGAAGGGCCCATCTAGCTCAGGCTTCTGCTAGCCTCCTGGCTAAGGAGATGAGCAGAGGCTGAAGGCAGCTCTGCTATGGAGAATAACTTGAGACTGGCAGTAAGAGATGAAGGAGCCTTTTCTGTAATGCTGGGAGAGAAGGGATGCTTTTTTCTTGTCCCATACCACTTCAAGTATGTTTCAGCTAGAAAGAGGAGTCCCCTGGCAGAAAGAGGTGGGAAATCCTGCCATTTATGTCACTGCCATTCTTTTCTTCCCCAGCCCTACCTCATGGTACCATTGCTGTCCCTTCTCAGCTCAGCAGCACAAATGACACTGAAGCATCTGCCTCATGAGCCAGCAGCAGCTCAGAATGCAAAAGAAAGGTCTTGCCACTCCCAGCACTTCCCTCTCCTATATCCTCTGCACTGTATGTAGAGCTTGGGGGGCTCTAAGACCACCCCTCTCCCCTGGTCCAGAGCCCTGGGGAGGGGAGGGAGAACTAGTTTCACTCTTACATGAAGGTTCTCTGCACTGTTCTCCCACCACATATACAAAAAGCAGCAGTGGCTCTCCATAACTGCAAGGAGACAAAACAAACTTTGACCAGAAGTGACAGCTACTGGATGCTGTTCCTCCTAGGCTGCAATGAAAAACCTGACTCAGTTAAGGACAAGGAAGCCCACAGCACAAAGCAACACCAGTTGGCAGAATGTAGGCTGTATTCTACACTGGCAATAGTACTCCAGCCTTGTTTGAGGGTCCTTCCAAGGCCAGGTAAGGCTTTATGTGAAATTTAAGTAATAGAGAATGTTGCTCTAAGTCTCGTACATGCCCTGAGCACACCAGGATGCTGCTATCTGCCTACTTCTGCACTTGCCTGCACCTGTATTTCCCACAGACTAATTGGTCCAAAGGACTGTGATTCTATAGATGTCAGTGCAGTTACATGCTTATGTCAATGGTGAATTTAGGCCAAACCTATGAGCTCTGTAATGCAGGAAGCTATGTGCTTTTATGGCTTGCGGGGAGGGGGGGGAAATAAGATCCCAACCTTTGATTTGGAGGTGTCTATTTTCTGCTGAACCTTATACACAAACACTGAGGTAAGAAACAGAGTGTCCATTATTTTGCACTTCAGCTGTAGGAATTTTCCCTTACAGCTTTCAAAGGGGACAATTTCTGCCTTCAGATCCTTGTGCAGAACTCCTGGAGAAGCAGAGAGCAATCGGGCTGCAAGCTTTTGCCAGTAAGCTAAGATTTCCCCTTAATGCAGCTGTTAAAGGACAGATGGAGCTTCTGGACCCTGGTCAGACAATGATAGTGCTTCACTCCTTCACAAGAGGGTAGGTATAAAATTGCCCTTGCAATACAATAGGCCAGTGGATCTAAGCCTCTGCCACAATCAGATCTCTGGTGACCTGAAAAGCAGCAATAAGGGAGCTAAGCTGAATCTTCTCACTTGTGCCAGCAGCCAGCCTGTACCTAAACAAAGAAAGAACAAATGTGAACACTACATTCAGCTCAGACTGCTCCTCCACCCCACCTGAGCTGCAGCTACGGAAAGTTCTGCCTGTATAACCTAACCTAGGTTTCTTGCATAACAGCCACCTGCAGTATCCACTGACAATACTGGGAACTCTCTTGTGATTGTGTTGCAAAGTGGCTGATGAGGAAAAATGGATGTTTAACATTAACAGTAAATTTCCCACAAAGCAGGGGAGTAGGGAGCACAAGGTATTCAGATGAGAGAAGACAAACACAGTGATCAGCACCAACTAGATACTCACTCAATGTCTGCCATTTTGATCAGCAGCTGGGTTCGGACTGAGGCTGGGAAGTCAACTAGAGAGAGATGAAGACACCTTGAGTAAGCGTGACACAAGTAACAAGACTTAAGTCCTTTATGCTTCAGATTACTCTGTCCAAACCTACAGAGGGAGGAGGAATTATCTACTTGCTTAAAATAGGGAGAAATTGAGACCATAACCAAATATTTCTTTGAAGTCCTCTTCTAGTCTTTGCTGTATGGAGATAAAAGTAGCATAGTAGGTCTCCCTCCCCCCAACATGTTCTAACGGCATGCCTCCCAACCAAGATTATGCCCCATGAAGTGACAGAGGGTGAGAACATTAGACACAGCTAAATAACTGGTGAAAACTTAAACTTGGTGATAAGTTTCTGTGGACAGGAGCATGTAAAAGCCCCTGGTGCTTGTCTATAAAACAGAGCTGCCAAGCCTCTCTGAGTCGGAGACCTTGGCCAGAGTTCAGAACAACACCAACACAGAAAATAGACACCGCCAAATCAAAGAAGGTTGGGATCTTAACACTTGACATTCAGCACAGAGTGTGGTGGTCCATGTCTGTGCATCACATAGCACAGCAAGGCTTCCTGGCCCAGAAGTGGGGATGCTAGGAAGGCTAGCAGTGCAAGGGAGGGCTACTATTTTAACTGTAAACTCTGTGTGCCCTTGTCAGGCCCTTTCCAGAAATTTCTTGGCAGTCTGACTCACCAGAAGCCTGAGCCAGCCTAAGTCTTGCCACTGACTTCATTGAGTATAGGAGAAAGGCCCAGCTCTGTTCGACTTCCTGCAGTATCCCCAGTGCCACTCAGCAGAGGAGCCAACAGACCTGGGAGAGGCCCTATCTAGATGGTAAGGGTATGAGGAGGAGCACCACAGCCCATCTTAGCAGCAGAGAGGACAGACTTGCTCCAGAGGAAGCTTTGTTTCAGGCAAGATGGCAGGCTGGCTTGCAGGGCAGGTTCTGTTGTTGACCTGTTGTGTTCAAAGACACAGGCAGAGGAACGGCCCTAGAACGGGAGGGGAGTCTGCTGCAGGAACAAACCCATAAGAGTCTACATCAGCCACAGATGAGTGAGGGACAGGGCTGCACCAGACAGGAAACCTGGGCTGCCCTTTGTATGAGAAATGCCACTGAACAGTGATGGACAAGGGCACTGTCACTCAGGGTAATGCTGTAGTACCGCACAGTTCCCCATAAGGTGTGACTGGGTCCCTTCCCCAGAATAGGAGCCTGCCTGCCCCTATAACAGGATGAGGTCTCTTCCCCACTATCACCCATGTAAGATGGAGGTTCTCATACACTCCTTCCCTCCTCTCTCAGACTTGCTGCCAGATCCAAGCAAGTTCCTCCCTGCTTCCTTCCTGCTCACTGCTGTCTAAAAAACCCATCTGAACCAGCAACCTGTCAAGATGGGGAAAGGAATTACTGGTGGAACTACTTCTTCCTGGAAGACAGAAGCCTTCTTCCCCTTTAACATCCCTACCCATAGCCAGTGGAAGCTAGACTGAATCCAGCTTTTCTCCCCTTTAATAAGCAAGACCTTCAAGATACTCTGGGGGCTATGTGCCCAAGATAAGCACTGGCCAGCAAAAGGAGCACTACCTCGGTGCACAAACAAGTGGATCTCAGTCAGGATGTCATGCAGTGCCAATCCCTTCAGTGTCTTCAGCTCCATGATTCCTGAGGGACAAGTCAAGGAATCTCCTCCTTGCTACCTGCAAATGCCACCAAGACAAGGGCTCCCTACAGTTGCACCAGAAGGGCCCAATCCTGTGAAATACCATGTACCATCAGCTTCAAGTGAGAGAGTAAAAATAATGGAGGATGCAGGGTCTGGCCCTTGGCTCCTGGCAGCAATGCACAGTATATGCTAAGGCTGGAAATAAAAGGGAACTATGACATGTCTGGAGACCAGACTTTACCTCGCAGGACCACAATATCTAGAGCTTCCCCCTGCTGGGAGGGAGACACTAACTGTGATCCAAACGAGCTACAGTTACAGGGAAACTTTGGAAGAGACGCACACAAAGAGGTGAGATTTATAAACAGATACAGAAGGACATACTGGGGTTCCATAAGGGTGCTGCTGGTGCGTGATACTCCAGGGCAAAGTGTTTTGCAATGCAAAAAGCCTCTATTTCTTATGAGTATGGAGTGGTTAGAGAGGCTGCTGCCTCATACCCATGCTAGCCCGATGTTTCAGGGCTGCCTGATCACTAGCTCCAAGCATAGTTTGAAGATGGCACCAAGGATACTTTTGTAGGCCATGGTGAAGTCCTGGTTCAGCATCCAGTCGAGAATATTGGCAATGTCAGACTTGAGGGGGTGACCGGTGCAAGTGTACACGGTTTCCTCCGTCACCTTCTCAAAGGCCATGCTTGTGCTCTGCCGAGAGAGAACAAGAGGTTGGAGGGGAGCTTTGGCTCTATAAAGGGGCTAAGGAAATCCAACATCTCTGCTTCCTGGATCATCATCTGGCCTTTTGTGACTTCAACAGTTTCTCCTTCCACTTAGGCACAGGGAGCCAATGCACTAGCTGGCTCCTAATTCCTTACTGTGCATCCACATGCTTAGTGATACAGTGGGTGATGCGTGTAAATCTATCTACAACAGCGGTTTCACCAAGGGCACAGTTTGACTCTTAAATCTTTATTCCTGGTGGCAAGGTTTTAGGAAGGACAGAGCCCAGCTTGTCTAGTAACTTGTTACTAGGGGTGGGGGTGAGTGGGACACCAGCCCCAGGCACTGGCTTAGAGGAGGCACCAGTATGATGCCCCTACTCCAGCAGCCTTTGCCACAGCACGGGCAGTCCAGCCATAGGAGCAGGGCAGGCATAGCGCCATGGCCTGTAGTGTATCTGGAGGAAGGGGGCAATTGAAGTGACTGGAATATCCCATTCCCCTGTGGGAGGCTTGGCCACGGGAGATGCAGCTCTGAGCTCAGAAGTATAAGTGTATCTGAGGGGCAGGAGGAACCAATGGGGCACAGATGGCCCTGGGAAGCCCACAGTGCCAGGCTAGTGAACCTGCCCTGTAGCTGGAGAGCCTAAACCCACGGTGCTACAGCAGGAA